GGTGGCCCTAGGAATTGCTGCCCTCCTTCCTGCACCCCAGCCCCAAGCACCCGCACAAGACTGTTTGATGGAGTCTGGCCTATGGCAGGAGAGAAGATGCTCCCAGCTTCTGTTCCAGCACACACATGAAATGTGGCTTGTGTTCGGGGCATATGTGAGCAGCTGGTGATGCAGCTGACTCTCATCAGCCTGTAGAGTTAAGGCTGTAAAGACTGAGAGGTGTGGCCCAGCGGCCCTTCCAACTTTCTACCCTCTAAAAACTTTTTTGGTTTCTTGTTTTGGTTTTGGGGCCCCACTCAGCTGTTCATACTCCTGGCTCTCACTCCTGGCAGGGCTGGGGGACCATAGGTGTTGCTGGGGATTGAACCCAGTTGCAAGGCAGACACCCTAACCCTTGTATTATCTCTCCATCCTCTAAAGTTGTTTTGGGTTTGTTTTTCTGCTTCTGTCTTAGTGCTCAGGGCTCATTCCAGATTCAGTGCTCAGGGGGTGCTTCTGGCAGTGTTTAGGAGAGCGTGCCGTGCTGTAGACTGAGCCCAGGACTCCATGCATTCTTAAAGTTCTCTCTCCAGCCCATCTTCCTGAGACATTTTTAACTGGGTTTTGTCGAGCAGTAAGATTGAGTTTAAATGCGGTTGCTTTCCCAACCCTGGACTCTGGCGGGCATGCCAAGCATTGTTAGAACAACAAAGTGGGCCAGGAGTCAGCCAGTCATCTGCGTGTAAACATTTCTGTGTGGACCAGACCAGCCTGTTGCCAGAGTGTGAAAGGGCAAGGCTGCGGTGGGGCGACTCTGGAGCTGGGTGCCCGGCGCAGGGGATGTGACTCAGGGGACGAGGAGGGTGTGCTGCTGGCTTTGGTAAGGTAAGGGAACAGAACCTTCGTGTCATCCCCCATGCTGTGGGTTTCTCAATAGAGAATGCCAAGCGGGGTTTTGGTGGTTTTTTTTTTCTTTTTCTTTCTATTAAAGAAATTTAACATAATCTTATTTGAACTCCCAGAAGGTGGGGAAAAATTAAGGCATTGGGTGGCCAAATGCAAAAAGAATTCATATAGATAACAGGCAAAACTAATGATTATGCTATTGGAAATGAGATTGCTGGTTTTCCCCACCCTAGGGAAGTGGGAGTGACAGGATTGTGATGGGTGTGAGGCGCCCCTGGCATCTTTTCCATTTCTCTGACTGGGCTTGTGCTTACACAGTGAATTCAGCTTTGTGAAAATAATCGAATATTACACTTATTAAATGTACTGGTATGTATTACACTTTTTTAAAACACCCTTGTGTTTGTATTGGGTTTCTTTAACCTTAACTACAACAAAGATTTTACTTTTTGTTTACTTTTGTTATACATATTTAATTTATTGTGGTACTATTGGTTACAAGAGTGTAAATGTTGATGTGTTTTAGGGGCCCAGTGTCCCCACACCATCCCATTGCCAAAGTGCCCGTGTCCCTTCCCTGCAGTCCTTGGGTCCCTTCCATCTCTCTCACCCCCTGAGGCAGCCTCAGCCTTGGGGTCAATGTTAGGTTTTGTTTTTATGGAATGCTTTATTACCCACCCACGAGTGAGATCATTCCATAGTTTAGGTGTCCTCCTACATTTGTGTCCTGCCTAATGTTGATGTATACAAAGTATTTGTTTCCTTGAGTCAGTTTGAGATGACGTGGAATTTATTATCTACGTCTTATGAAAATTCACTCCCTGGCGTGGTGCCTATGGGTAGGACTTCACTGGGCTTTTCTCATCTATTAAAATGTGTCTTAAAGGACCGCAGAGTAGGTGCTATGCTTGGAAAGGACACTCACTCTTCCCTTAGGTAAATAGGCTCTGGGGGAGCCATACCTGGTGGCAGGGGACCTGGACTCTCATGCCCAACTTACCCTCCAGCCCTTTGAGCCCGTTCCCTGGCACAGTCAATCCCTGTGGCCACCTCTGAGAGAGAAGACCCTCTAAATGGGTCACGCTACAGGCTGGATGACACTGTCTCTCCCCCCAAGAGAGCTTGATCTCTGTGTGCAGTTATGAATACTGGTATAAGGAAGAGAAAAGCTGCATGGGTGGGGATCCCGGAAAGGAAAGGCAGTCCTCTGACAGAACCAGGAGACACCATGGAAGAAGTCAAATTTAAAGTGGATTTTCTATTTTCAGTCTGTTTGATTTTTATTTTTAATTTATTCTATTTTATTTTATTTTTGTCTTTTGGGTCACATTGGCGGTGCTCAGGGGTTACTCCTGACTCTGCCCTCAGGAATTACTCCTGGAGGTGCTCAGGGGACCAATATGGGATGCCAGAAATCAAACTTAGGTTGGGCTCATGAAACACCCTACCCCCTGTACTATCGCTCCAGCCTCTGTTTTATGCTATCTTGTACAAGAGTGTCGATGTCTCTAAGCTTTGGAGGTCTAGCATAACTATTTCATGCTCAACACCGAAGTGCCAATATCTGTTTATCATATAGTCCCTAAGGGCCCTTCCCTTCCACGATACTCTAGGAGGGAGTTTGAGAAGTAGAAGTCGGGAGTGGCTGGCTTGCTGTAGGCCAGAGAACCCATAAACTTCTCATGGACCTCCAAAAACTTGGGTCTTTACGGTTCACCAGAGATGAACAGCAGCCACGAGGGTTAAGTGGAAGCCTAGGAGGTGAGAGGCCTGCGGGAACCAGGCTGGGATTGACGTGGAGGCCTGGGAAAGCCCAGGCACATGGCCGATTTGCAGAGCAGCATAATCCTCCCGAGCTCTCCAGCGAAATCAGATCTCTGACCTTGTGACCACAGTCACCATGAATGCCCTGCCTGCCCCAAATAAATATTTCCTAGGCTTAGTGCCTTCTTTGTTAGTGTTATATGATCCCGTCACTGCTCAGGTTTCTGAGAGAGCCCTGTGGAACTTGTTTTCTCGAACTTTCTATGGTCTCTCCCAGGGACCTTCTCAAGCTCCTGACCCATTCTTTCCTTTGATTAAGTGATGTAGCAGGTCATTGGGCTTTCTTTCATGCTTTGTGCTCTGATCTTCTTTCTTTCCAGCCTTTTCTCGCCAGGCTGTTCTGCCCAGTAAAATCATCAGTGTCTCTTACTTATGTGAAAATATGTGTGCGTTGGAAGAGAGATATGAACATATGTGAACAAACTTTAAGTTGTGAAGGAGGCCAAGTTCCCCCCTAGCCTGGAACTGGGTCTACTGTGCCACTGAACTGCCTGCTCTGGAAAAAACTCAGGTGGGGTTTTTCCACCAGTAAAGGTGTGTTGGCGTCATTATTGGAAATGATTCATATTCAGGTCTGGGTCCCATGGGCAGCAGGTGGTCTTGAGGGTCACATTGTACTTAACCTGTTTGGTGGGCCTGCCTGCTTGCCCCCCCGCCCCAAAAAAAAGCAGTGTGCTGAATATATTCTTTGATTTGATTTCAGTTGTAACTCTATTATTACAGTATTGTTATAATGAAAGGGTTGAAACTTGACAAAAAGGTTTCTATTTAGATTGTAGGATTTTTTTCGTTTAGTAATGGTGTTCAGTCTCTGCCAAGACCTGTTCGTCGGGGACGTTAGGAATCCGGCGTGCCGCTAGAGAAAGCAGACCAGAGTTAGCATGACTTGGGTGCAAATCTTGGCTCTTTAAATTTCAGTTGCTACATTTAGGGTGACTTAAGTGCAAATCCTGGATCTTTAAGTGTCAGTTGCTACATGTGATGTGGGTTGGACACAGAATTCTTTATCTGGGATATGGTGAGGTGCAAGTAAGAGAAACCCTTCAACTCTTCACAGAAACTGGCAGACAAGCTGCTTTTACCCAAATTAGCCATCCTCTTTGCCATGCTGTTTAGTGGATACATTGAAGTTCATTTTTCAGTTTATGTTCCACCAGTAAGCTATCACTATAGCTATATTATGATTCTTTTCTCTGCATGGCACTGGAGTAAGAAAGCTATTTCCTGTGGTCTTAGTCTTATCACTGTTTGGAATTGTTTTGTTTATTAATGTTTTAATTATTTGTTCGTTTGTTTTCCATTTGGACCATACCTGGCAGTATGAAGGAATTTATTCCTTACTCTGCTCAGGGATCATTCCTGGTGGTGCGGGAGGGTTGGTGGGGTTGGGGTTGGGGTGGGGGGCACTTTGCAGAGGCATGTGCAAGGTAAGGCCTCTAACCTATGTTCTGTATTTTTACAGCTCTTTTTTTTTTTTGATTATTTGAATCCCTTTGTTTGTGGTGGGGGACAGGAGTGTAGATTGTTTCCACATCTACTTATTAATGTTGTGTTGTCTAATTAACTTCCATCTTGCCTTGCGTGGTTCCATCTATCTTCTTTTGGGTTCCATCTAAAATATTATTACTTATGTTGATAAATGTACCTATTACAACTTAACTTTCCTTTTAATTTTTTGGATTTTGAGGGATACCCTGGTGATTCTCCAGGGTTACTCCTACTCAGTGTTCAGGGACCATACCTGATGATGCTTGGGAGACCATATGTGGTGCCCCTTGGCACCAGAGTAAGCTACATGCAAAGCAAGCACCCTAACCTCTGTACTAGCTCTCCAGACTCAGAATTTAACTTTCAGAGATATTTTTTTCTTGCAATTTCTAGTTCTGTGCAATGATCGAGTTTTGAGCTGGCTCCATTTCCCACAGTGATGACGTTCCCTGGGAATGGGGTATGGCAGGAATCCCTCTTACCTAGTCTCTCTGGGAAACCAGAACAGGCTGGTCAGCTCATCCCACTGTGCATTTTCTACCCAGAGAACCAGCACTTATCATCTAATCAGGCAGAAAATGCGTCCCCAGTAGGTCTCAGAATCACAGTGAGTTCACGGAGGTGACAAAGCCCAGGGCTGCCTTGCCTTCAGAGAGGAGAGGATAGAGTTTGTAGCCTATGATTACTGGTGATCTGAAAATCAGGGGCTCCGATTGCTCCCCTGTGGTACAAGCATCAGTCCCACCGCAGGCCCTGTCCCTCTGACTTCAGACTCTTGAAGTGCTTCTTCTCTCCCCGTGCAGGTGGAACGCCATGACATGAATACCCTCAGCCTGCCCCTTCACATACGCCGAGGCGGTTCTGACACCAACCTCAACTTTGACGTCCCAGATGGCATCCTGGATTTCCACAAGGTCCGGCTCAATGCCGATAGCCTGAAGCAGAAAATCCTGAAGGTCACCGAGCAGATCAAAATTGAGCAGACCTCCCGGGATGGGAACGTGGCTGAGTATCTGAAGCTGGTCAACAGTGCAGACAAGCAACAAGCCAGTCGGATCAAGCAGGTCTTTGAGAAGAAGAATCAGAAATCGGCACACTCTATTGCTCAGCTGCAGAAAAAGTTGGAACAGTACCATCGGAAGCTCCGGGAGATTGAACAGAACGGAGCCTCCAGGAGTGCCAAGGACCTCCAGCACTCTCTGAAGGATGCCCATGCCAAATCTCGAACTGCGCCCCATGGCATGGAGAGCAGTAAGTCGGGCATGCCTGGGGTGTCCCTCACGCCCCCCGTTTTTGTCTTCAACAAGTCCAGAGAGTTTGCCAACCTAATCCGCAATAAGTTTGGCAGCGCTGACAACATCGCTCACCTCAAAAATTCCCTCGAGGAATTCCGGCCAGAGACAAGTGCCCGGGCATACGGGGGCAGTGCCACCATTGTAACCAAACCCAAATACGGCAGTGATGATGAGTGTTCGAGTGGCACGTCGGGCTCTGCAGACAGCAATGGGAACCAGTCGTTTGGGGCCAGTGGGGCAGGGACGCTGGACAGCCAGGGGAAGCTCAGCATGATTCTGGAGGAACTACGGGAGATCAAGGAGACCCAAACCCAGCTGGCCGAGGACATCGAAGCGCTGAAAGTGCAATTTAAGAGAGAATACGGGTTTATCTCACAGACCCTGCAAGAGGAGAGATACAGGTATTTAGAGTCTGTTGGAATTTTTTTTCAAAGGTTTGACTAACAACTACAGGGAGATCACTTGAATGTCATGTGCTGAGAGTGTTATCTGTGAGTATAGTTATTTTTGTCCAAAACTAAATGCTTTGTAGTGGTGGCATACATTTGTAAGCAGATTTTCAGCAGTTTAGGGAAAACTATAACATGTGTGGATCTTTTGAAGAACTCTTGTCTCATTGCCACAGAGCACAGTGTGGCCCTAGATAATTTATGATTCAAGTGCAGATTAAAATGGATTGATTGCATTGGAATTACCCGTCTCATTAAAGAAATGCAGAGTCCTACATTCAAGCACCCCCGCACCCCCCGGAACTGTCACATGAAAAAGCAAATTCCTTTTTCCAGCAGGTAGATTTTATTTGGTCCATCAATCTTAAAAGTCTTCACAGGGAAAATACTTTGTATGCATTGCATTTTGCTCATTAAACTTTTCACTCTAAAGAGCTTTTAAGAGTTGAAGATTAAAGTATAAATTAAAATCTTGTGGATCCTGTTAGCAATAAAGTTTTGTAGGTTGAATTTTTATATACTGGTAGCCTATTAATCAAAAAATATATACCTGAATAAGAGATTATTTTCCCTCTGCAAAGATGTCCCCAAGAGATTTGTGTGTGCCCTGGTAAATGGTGGGACCAGCTGGTGTAGAAACTTGAACCCTCAGGGATTCTGCAGCACATGAGCTGGGACTATAGATGATTTGGAGTCTCAGGACACACATGGATGCTGCCTCAGGGTGCCAGTGCGTCCTTGCTTGTGGCAGGATCCTGGGAAGTCCTGGATCCTGACCTGCCCCTGAAATGTGCTAGCAGGCCAGCTCTGTCATGTTGTCACTGAGCAGAGTGCTAGTGTGAAATGGGTTGGAAAGGCAGCTTGGACTTGCATGCAGGTTTTTAGATGAGGAGAAGTTAAAGCCTGCAGAGACCAGACCTGTCTAGAACTGGGGCTGGGTGCCAGCCCATGTGTGCTTTTAGAAACTCAGTGCTGCCTGGTTTGTTTTCATGCCCTGGTGGATATTGTTTAAAAGGATAGTCTAGATAAAAAGCGTGGGGGGGGGGGGCTTCTAGAATGTGCTGTTATATGATTTTGGGAACATCATACTCAGAACTGGCTCCTCTCTTTGCAAAGGTACGAGCGCCTGGAAGACCAGCTGCATGACCTGACAGACCTGCATCAGCACGAGATGGCCAACCTGAAGCAGGAGCTGGCCAGCATCGAGGAGAAGGTGGCCTACCAGGCCTACGAGCGGTCGCGGGACATCCAGGTGCCTTTCCTTTCACCATTCAAAGCATGCACAGCCTCTTCCTAGTCTTGGGTTCATTTAACAGACAGGTGCATTCCCCCTGGGGCCCTGCAAGGCATTCTGGCACATGGCACAGTTTTCTCTGCACAAACATCTTCTCCGCCTTATTTATCCTATTAGTTCATGGTATATATACTACTCAGTGAAGCAGCTCACCTCTGTTAGCTTTCTGCCTAAATTAGTGGAGATTTTGGAAACCCAACCCCACCATCCCTCCTCTCTCCTCCCCTGCAAGCATCACAGTATGTTAATGTTTGAAAGTAGTATTCCTTGACTTTTTTACACCTATGTTCTGGCTCATGGACTGGTGGTTGAAATCCATGAGAATATCTTTTAAAAGATGAGGCAGGGCTGGAAAGGTGCTTGCCTTGCAAGCCCCCACAGGTCCATGTTCCAATAGGTGCTTGTCTTAGAGGAGGAGTTTGGGTGAATATTGTTCTTTCTTGGAGAGGGAAGGGGGATTTGGGGCCGCACTTCATAGTGCTCAGAATCACTCCTGGCAGGTCTTGGGGCATCAAATCCAGGTTGGCTGTGTGCAAGGCAAGTAGCCTTAGCTTTTCTCTTTGAGCCTACATCATCATCATCATCATCATCATCATCATCATCATCATCCCCTTATTTCCCTTCTTCCTCCTTTCCCCTTCCTCGTCCCCTCCACCCTCCTCCTCCTTGTCCTCCTCATCTTCCTCCTCCTCCTGCTCCTCCCATTGAGGCTAAGATCCAGAAAGGAGTCTCCCAACAGGAACATAAAAGGCCAGGGATATGGCTTAGCTGCAAAGCATATACCTTATACATACGTATGATACTTGAGTTTGATTCTCAGCACCACCAAAAGAAAGGGGGTAGGAGTGGGGATGTGGTTGATAAGGCTGAAATTCAGAAATCAGTAGAGTTGATTTCATCATGTTCAGATTTCTCTAACTCAGAAATGCAGGATGTCTGAGGATCTGGAGGGGTCTGTCTTGACATAATAGGAATCTAGGTTCTACCATTTACTAGCTTGTAAAATAGTGAAAAAATTAAGTGCTGGCTACTCTTTCTGTTCTGTTGGTGAGTAGCAATAGCCTCCAGAGCTTTTGAGCAGAGAGGCAGTTTGGGGCTTCCCAAATATATTTACCTGCTACCCACTTTTTAGAGATAAAATTACTCTCCTTTCCCACCCAAGTTAACCTACGTTCTTTAAGGGAACCAACAGGAAGTGCCCCAGGTTGTAACTAAGAATGCTGTACCCCATCCCACCCACACCCTAATCATTCTTTTGTCCCCCATCATTCTATTGTTCTCCAAGGCTACCCCAGCCTTACCACACAGACTTAACTTGAAGGTAGCTTTTGCCTGCAGAGGTGCACATGTTTTTGTTGTTTCTAGCAACTGACTTTTTTTTTTTTTGCGCTTTTTGGGTCACACCTGGCTATGCACAGGGGTTACTCAGGAGTTACTCCTGGCGGTGCTCAGGGGACCATATGGGATACTAGGAATCGAACCCGGGTCAGCCGCGTGCAAGGCAAACGCCCTACCCACTGTGCTATCTATCCAGCCCCTCTAGCAACTGACTTTTGTTGGATTTTTTTACTTTGAATTTTCCATTAAAATTACAGAAATTAACCTGTTTTGCTCCCTTGTCCCCAGTAAATACTGAACCCACAAAAGTACTGAAAATTGTATGACAAAAAAAAAAGAAAGAAAAAAAGGAAGACAAGTATGATTGAGTGGCGCTTAGTGAGTTGCAATTCACACCATTTTTTTTAGATTTTCCTTTTAATAAAAATCTGATGACCATCCTTGTCTTAGCTTCACTGATGTCTGTAATTCACTCAGAAATTAGGGTATTTATATGAAGTGGTTGCAGGTGTGAGGTCTGGGCTTATGTATGTACGTTATTGTAGCATATCAGCATCTGTGTTGTAGCATTTTTTTCAGAATGTACAGATCTGAAGGCTTTTACCTTTTTGGTACCCTGTATCATGAAAGTTACTATAGTAACACAACCAAGTTCTTTGGCCCATAGAATATAGTCAGCAGGAACAAAGCAAATCTGCACTGGAGCCATTATGCTTGTTTCAGCACTGAGAGGATGCCTATAATAGCATTGGCCAGCACAGATTGGTAAATGAGTTAGGCAGTGGGCTAGAGAGATGAAAAGGGGCATGTTGTGCTTCTGTTGTTCGATTATTTTCTCCCAAGAGCCCAAGATTCTTCTCTCTCGAGCCTCTACCCATTACTGGCATCCATTTGAATATTCAGCAGGTGTGTTGTGCCTGTAGCATGCCCAGGGGACTGAGTCCCTGTGAAGTCAATGGGCCCCCACGGGTAGTTTATATGAGGCAGAGAGGAGAGAGATGGTCACTTCCTCCAGATCTGCCTAACAGAAAAGAATTTCAGGAGTAGAAGAGCAGTGAAGTGAAACAGATTTTATTTAGTTTTTTTGGGTTATGTCAGAGTTTGTTTCATGACCATACTCTTATTATACTTCTTATGGTGCTTAGCCTGTCCCTTTTCAGTGCCAGGGTAGCTTACGGCTTGCCTTGGGTCCATCTAAGTCCCTCTCTTGGACCTCCCTTTTGCAATGTTAGGAACTAAAGGGAATAGAGGCTTAAGTCAAATAAATATGATGGATTCCGGGAGTAAATATTATCCATAGTCAGTTAACTCTCATAGTACAAAAGCATAACATAACTGTCTTCCTGTGTCTGTACAAAAAGGACATTGCTCTAGAATAAACTATGCAAAGGAACTAAAGGAAAGAGAAAAAGGAATATTTCACTTACATATGCAAAACTCCAGGACCCTCAGAAGAATTTGACTTTACAAGTTACAGGGTCTGATTTGGGGATATTGTGATTAACAGGTAAGGGAAGAAGAACACAAAAAGGAGGTTAAAGATAAACAGAGAGGATTCGGAATGCCTGATGGAATTGGGTGTGCCTTTATATAACTAGTAGTGATATAACTCAGTAGACCTAAGCTCCCTGCAAAGGGGAGGGGGTGGGGGGGAGAACTAACCAACATCACTTCTTAAAATGCTATAATCCAACATAGGGGTTGCTCAGAAAGGAAACAAAGTTGGAAGAAGGCCACTGGAAAAGGTTAAGGAACACTGGTCTAGAATGCACACAGACCCAGCAGGGTGCACTTGGCCAGCAGTTGGGGACCTACACTGGGGCTAAAGGTAGCCAAACCTCACAAACCAGGCCCACCCCCTCCTCTAGTTTGTCCCCATGGTACCAACAGATGCCAGTGTTTCAAATGTACTCAAATGCACTTTATTTCAAATTTAGGTGCAGCCCAAATGCTTAATTCATCATGTGGCTATTTTATGGTTGTGTACATGTTTGTTTTAGACCATGAATATGAATAACCAGATAAAATGAGCCTCAGGATTCTTGTTTTGCTGCTCCTGGGAGTATCCTGTCAGATGAGTTAAGCTATTTGAAGCCACCTAAGCATCTGACTTTCTGTTCTGGGGGCTGGGTAGGGGTGGAGGGCTCGCAGACATCTCCGAACACCCATTCCCACGTTGCCCATGATCTCAACTGCCCTCTCCTTCTTGCCCACAGGAGGCCCTGGAAACCTGCCAGACTCGCATTTCTAAGCTGGAGCTGCACCAGCAAGAGCAGCAAGTTCTGCAGACAGACACAGTGAATGCCAAAGTTCTCCTGGGGAAGTGCATAAATGTCATCCTGGCCTTCATGGCCGTGCTCTTGGTGTGTGTGTCCACCATCGCCAAGTTCGTCTCGCCCATGATGAAGAGCCGCTTCCACATTCTTGGCACCTTCTTTGCTGTGACTCTTCTAGCCATCTTTTGTAAAAACTGGGACCACATTCTGTGCGCCATAGAACGAATAATCATACCAAGATGAAGCCCCCTTCGGTCCCCATTGTCAAGTCTCCTCATGTTTTTATTTTAACGACCAACTGTGCATACCACCAAATTTTTCCAGCGAACGGTTTGTGCCAACAGAAGCCCACAGGAAGGACTGGGACTGCAAGTTGTAAATAACTCGTGCATTTCTTTATCCAGTAGCAGCTGCCAGCCCAGCCCCTGTACTTGATTAATGTGAATCTGTTTCAGCGGTCCCCACCACCACACCACGTTGCTCACTGCCTTAATTAGACCAGATTTCTTGCCCCCCTGACACACCCATTATGGCAAACCTCTGGTTATTGAGCACTTTGCATAATGAGTGACCCAGGAGAGAGGACATTTTAAACTCTCTCTCTAAGTCTCTCTCCACCTTGACCACCACTGTTGTCAGCAGTAGCATTTTCCCTAAGCCCCAGAAGCTGACAGGAAGTGACGTGACTCAGATACAGGTTGACCACATGGAACACTGGTGGCCCGTGGAAAGGGACAGGACACCCCGTATAACGCATCCCACTCATCCACAGATGGCCAAGGGGCCAGTGCCCACAGTGTCCGCCTGGGTCTGACTCTAACCTGTGAAACTCTTCTAACACCTTTTGATCTGTCAGAAGTCTAAGGAGGTGTTCTGTTGCACTTTAAAGACTATGACATGGGACTGATGACATGGCAAGGGGCTGCCTTCTGCGCCAGGAGCTACATCCTAAACCAGTGTGAAAGGCCCCCACCTCCTTCAAAGCTTGCAGACCAGCTGCCCGACCAAAGTGTGGCTTGAACATTAACCTGGGCTCCGGTCAGCAGCCCTCAGACGGTGTGTTTTTCAGCAGCTCTTATTTGTGCCCATCTCTTGAGGATGAGGGTCCCTTTCTTCCCAGACCTGCCAGGGCTGCTCAGTGCCCTCAGCAAATGGAAACCAGTGATACTCAGGGTGGGCTTGGTTTTCCTTAAGTAGGAGTAGCAGATTCCAAACTCAGAGCTGATGTGCCCTTGTTGGGTAGCCTAAGATGGGAGGAAGGTAGGACCCAGAAGGACCTGAAAGAATTCAGATGAACTTGATCCAGTGTCTAAGCCAATATGGCATCTGGCTCCTCAGATCTCACCAAACCTGGGCTCAGGGTAATCAGCTGCTCTTTTCACACTGGGGGGAAGCAGATGTCTTCCAGATGTTAACTTCTGAAGTTAACATCTGTAATATATTTGGGGGGTGCTCTTCACTATCTTCAGTCCAGATGAGATGTCTTTTGAGTCCATGTCTCTGTGTCCCTAAAAAAAGAAAGCCATGGGAGATGTGACTTGGGGCTGTTCAGCCTCTCATCCCACCACCGCCTTGCTTTGTCTGAAGGTGGGGAGTCACAAGCTACGGTTCATTTTCTTCCAGAAAATGTCAGAACCACCTGGGTTTAAATTAAATGGCCACAGTTGACCTCCCACTGCTCTTAGGAGATCTCCCAAACACACATGCTGGTGGCCGTGGTTGGAGGGAACAGAACAGTTGAGCACTTGGTACATGTTCTGTGTGACTATGACCCGCCCCCTGTGACTCAAGAAAAGTCCTCTTCTAGTGATTATTTATTTCCCCTCTAGTTGTTTTAAACAGCTCAAAAACATATTCAGTTATCATCACTAATTTCTGGACTGAAGCTTTATTAATACAGCAAACATCTTTTCAAAATATCTTTGGCTATAGAGTATTCTGGATTCAAGAAAGAGTCCCACTCTCGCCCTTGGCTGTATCCCTTTCTGCCAGGCTCACCCATGGCCTTCAAGGGGGGCCATATGAACACTGTGATCCATCCAGTCCAGGGCAGAGGGGAGGTCCAGGGGAGGAGGGAGGCTGCTGTGTCTCCTGTGGTTTCAAGGGCTGATGGCCAACCTTCCCCTTTTTCCCGTGGACATTATCTCATGGACTAAGGGCTAGGTGTCACTTACACCCTTCAAGTGAGGTCCTAGTATAATTGCTGTGAATCCTACTCGGGCACTTTGTCCAAGCCAAGGGTGGATATGGATACTGCCGTTAGTTGAGAGAGGCTGCATGGGATGACCAGCCCCCAAGGGCTCTGAGACTATCCAAGCTGACTGGGCCTTCCTCTTCCTGCCACCAATTATCTTCTCCTTTGCTCAGCCTAGAAGGTTCTCAATGACACTTCCCAGATCACTGATCAGAGAGACAAGTAGAAAGGCAGATGAAAAGGGTTCCCTTCTATCCCTCCTCCTAGTCCCTTCCAGTCTGGACCTGTCAGCAGATGCTGCTCAAAACTGACTGTATTGCAAGATATCCTAGAGTCCAAATTATTCAACCTGATTGTGAGTGCTTTTAAAAGATGTCCTCTTCCCATGATTCTCATTAGATGTCAGCCTTGTCTTCCCTTGGCAATGCTCAGCAAACACATTGTATTTTATTTCAGTCTTAAAGTTGATGACGCTTTTTAATAAGATGATATATTCCAAGGACTCTTCTACTCTCAGCAGTTTAGTCTCTCCTAAAGCATAAACCTTCCCTCTGCTTGTTTCCTTCACACCGTAAGATTTCTATACGGTTTTATTAATATGCAATTACAGATAGTGATGTCACTGTGACATAGCCTAAAATCAGATGTTCAAGTTACATTTATGTCCACTAACCATTCTCTACCTTTTTAGGTTAGTTGAGCCTCCTGTTCACTCCTAAAGGTTCAGACCTAAACAGCTGTCAGATACTGGTTATCAATAGCCACCAGCCCCTGCTCACTGAACATTACTCAGTACTTTAAGAAGCTAGACATAGGATTCTAACCCTGGGTTTCTTTTAATTTTTCCCCCACATATTTTCATTAGCCTCAGGATCATGATGGCTTGTTGAGGACAAAAACAAAAATCTGCTAGGGAACTTGAATTGGTTATTCATGTTATATTTTGAGTGTGATTAATTCAGAATAGAATAGCTTTCTTTTCCCAAAGAAACTATTGAAAGCCACACTGATGCAGTGAATGAAAGTACACCATTGTTAGACAGTGATCGAGTTTCTAGCATGTACTACTAGTGGGTTTGCTTGTGTGAATGCTATGATCTTTGGATGGACTGAAATCTGAGACTCCTCCCTTGTCCTTTCAACCCAGAATGTTATTCTCCCTCCCTGTCAATTAGCATCTGCGGAATTTTAGTCCTTCTACTTTGTCACCCTTGTTTTCATTTCAGTGTTGCCCCATTATGTATATTTATTGCTCTGCCATTTCTGTAGCATATCAGATTTAATTACAGTTTCAATACTTGTGATGGGAACTCGGTCCCCCTGGGCAACTAATTACTTTTGCCCTTTTGTTTTGGAGCTTAAATATCAAATGATTTTTTCACTGAGAGGGAAAAAATTTCTATTGAATACAGATACATAGAAGTCTTGATTTGAAAAACATTTCAATACACTTATTAATATGAACATGGATGATTAAAGCAATTTATTTTGTGTAACTGTAATTTTGAGGAGTGAACCAGGAAAAGGAAGAAATAGCATTATTTTAAATTCAGGACTTTATCTGGAGAGAGGTTCTTCAAAGAAGTTTAGTACGAGGAAGAAATTGGTGTAAAAAGAAGTCACTGAAACAAATGAGTTTGGCCTATTTACATTGAAAGTAGTTAAGATGCCAAAAAAAGAAAGAGTACAATTAAGAGTTTAACACACAAAAGACAAAACTGAACTAACCCGTTATTTTCTATGCTCAATGCAATTCTCTGTTCATAAGTTGGGAGGTAATGCACCTTGATTGTTTTAGAAATGATTTATGTGTTGCAATTTTTATTTATTTAAAGCATGTCTACTCTGTTTGTCCTAAGAGAACTGTTCCAGAAAAAAAAATGTGCTCTGTGTTTAAGATATGTTTAGGCAGTAGTTAGTGGTCCTGAAAGTAGAAACTAGAAATGTTTACTCTGAAGTCTGTTGCAAAATTTCCATTTTGTAGTTTCATGTTCTCCTAAAGTGAATTCTCTGTAGATTTTCACCTCATTCAAGGCAGGTGCCATTATTTTTTTAAATAAACATTTGATGTTAGCTTTGATGTTAAATAAAGAGATTTCTTAAATTTTCATATTTGTCACATCTCAATAGCATACTTGTGTTTGTGTGTGTGTCATCCATATTTTAAGATGGACTTAATCTTTCAGGGCAGATTTTGGTTCACAGATTTGGTGAGTGGATTCAGCGATTTCCCAGGTACCTCCTATGCCCACAACATGCACAGCCACCCCAACTGTTGACATCCCTTGAGAGTGTCCATCTCCTCCAAGGCGGTGAGCCTACACTGATACACCACTAGCACCAGAGTCCATACTTTCCATTAGGATTCACTCTTACACATTCAATGGGCTTGGATAAATGGACAATGGCATGTATCCAACATGTACAAATCAGAATAGTTTCACTACCCTAAAATTATTCTTTGCTCTGTATGGCTACCTCTCTTCCTCCACACTCCCCCCCCCCCCCCCGCCGCCCCAATTCTATTTCAAGTTTTCTATTGTGAGGGGAGTTAGTGTGATGTGCAGCCCCTTCCTTGAGCCATAGGAGAGAGGGAATGGTGGTTTGGTTAATTTCAGTACCTGAAAAGATAGGAAATGTGTCCTAGCAATATGGAAATATGGGTTTTGATAAGGTGCTGAAGACATAAAAGAAGACTTTCTGATGTGGAGCATAAAGATGAGGAGGAGAAATTTAGTGTCAGACTGTTTTGCAAGCTATAGTGGGTGTGCAGACCCTGAGATTAAAGCCACTCCAATATGGGATGTCTCTTGTTTGGTGCTTTGGCATTTACAACTCACCTTGTTTTCATAGTATTTTCTCATAAGAACCAGTCCTGGGGAGGCCTCCTCCTTATTACATGAATGAAATAGAAGCTAAGACATAGTGTTTCTCTAGGTCATAGCTAGTACCGAAAGGATTTGACTCTCTCTTGACTTTAGTCTATTCCTGATCCTGCCTTTAACTCTCTTGCTTCTGGCCAGTACAGTGACCTGAGCACTTTCTCCACTGCTCGCTCATCCAGCATCCACACTGTACAAAGAAACTATAATGCTTAGATGAAATAATTAAATCATAAATGCACTAGCCCATTCCCTGCCCTAGAAAATAGAATATATCTGAATCTTTGGAAGTCTTGTAGACTTCAATGTTATTTTGCATGCATTGTCAATGGATATCTAAAGATGTTCACAGGAAAGTGGAAGTGATTGCATTAAATGTCCCGCCCCACATATTTCCAAATGTTGCTCTAGGGGAAACACCTCAACTGTATTTCCTCTTTAAAAAGATGGAATGTAAGTCTCATTTGTTCTATTTAACAATACAGAGGCTTTCAAACAATTTCTTAGCCCCTTTTCAGAGGGGGGAAAAAAAAACTACCTTCTTTAAGCAAACAGCACATCCCAATTGTACCCAAGGCTACCACTAACTCCTACATTTCTGGCTCATTTCAGCACCCCATGTGGGAGTTGGGGGCAGTATTTACTACTTTGGGCAACACTAGAATAGAGAAATGCTTTCCAATTTTGAGTAACATATGGACTCCGAAGAAATTCTCTTGGAACGTTTGAGAATGTCTGGAGTTACTGCTGGACAGAGTAAAGGCCTTAATAGCAGTTTTATGGAAATGTGCTTATATGAATTTGCAGTCATAAGGCTGTAGACTATCTGCTGCCTCTACCAAGTTAAGAAGTGTGACCCTGAGGTATCAGAACTGAATCACACAGGATCATGGCTATCCTGCCACGGCTTCCTGTGCTGCTTCGGGTACATAATAGGCAGTTGGCTAAGCAGAATATTTCAGCTTTTGTGCTTAGCTCTGAGATGGTGAAGTCCCTTGGTGGCTCATGCTCCATGCTCCAGACATCTGCTACCATCTGTGGTGGCTACCTCTGAAATTTCTCTCCTTGCTCAGCCAGCCAGAATCTCTCCCCTGCCAGGCCTTTCACTTGACTAAAGCAGTTAGCAGGAACGCGCGTCAGCCGTGTTAACAGCTGTTTTGTTAGTGGTTACTCGACTCACCAAGGCATCGGGAATTGAATTTTTTTTTTCTGTTCTGCTTAAGAACAAGCTACTGTGTAGGAAAAAAAAAGAAGGCTTTCCTTAGCCAGTAATAACAAGAACTCTATTTGCCAAAGAAACCCTGAGAGGCCTGGATTCTCCTCTCATTCTGGGTCTATCCACATCACACATAGGGAGGTTGGCTCTTTCCTTCACAGAGATCTTGGCTGCTTTTCCCTTCTCATACTTCCCCTGTGGTGGGAAGCCCAGGCCAACAGAAAGCACTCAGACGCCAACATTTAGGTCACAAGCCCAGCTGTATGCACCCCCGCAGCCTAGTGGCCAGCGGAGAGCCAAACGCAGCCTCGATCCACTTCCCTAGATATCAGGGTCAGAATGCTATGAAGGGACCTTTGATATACATCCGGGTTCCCCTTGTCAACAGGAAACCATCAGCTCAAAACCAGTGTAAAGCATATATGGAGTCAGAATGGGGAACATGTAATCATTCAGCAGTATTCTCCTTCCAGGAAATGCTGAAAGGATTCACCAAGCTGAGGGCCCGCCCTTAGTAAGCTGGGGAGGGATCACTGTGTGGGCCCTGTTGAAGACAGGGATCCTGCCTAGGTGTGGTGGGCCTTCAGGGTATCCGGGATACGTACAATGTTTATGTGTTCCTGGGAGTCTGCACCTCACTTCAGGTCCACACCAAGCTCAGGAAGATCTGTCTGGTTTTTTTCATGGCCATACCAGGACAGATGGAGCTCTTCATCTGGTTAGATCACTGAAGCTTTGTGGCCACTGCTAAGTTTTGAGTATTAATCAGTATTTTCTATTTTTTTTAATTAGGAATATTCTGATCAGAGTTGCATGAGCATGGATTAGTTCCACAGGAGTGATCATTTAATGCATGCATGAGGTAGAGTCAGAACTACTCCTTAACATGACATGGGAAGTCCAGCTGAAAACTAAGATGAGGTGCCAAAGAGATAGTGTGGCTATTTGGCAGCTAGCATTGTGGCCAACCCTGGCTCAATCACCAGCACTTCATGGTCACCTAGGCATTGCAGAATTCAGTCCTGGAGACCCCTGAGCACCAAAGGTGACCCTGTAGGACTCAGAAAATCCAAGACACCACAGGGCCCAGAGAAGCACTGCATCTTCAGACCCTTGCATTGAATCTACTAGCTTGATTGGTCAAGTATTGCTGAGCACCACTTGGGAGCCCACTCAAGTGGAATGGGAGGGTGCTTTTCTCTTACCTATAGTCTGATTAAGCTGGGTAAAATGTTTTATTTGCCAGGATCTCTCTTTCCTACTCTGTTCACTGCCTGGGGTTGCAAGGTTTAGATGAGATAAAGTGCTTGATGAATGGATGATGGATCAGGATCTCCCATCATTTATCCTGTTTGTGAGCACCTATTATGTGTCAGGTACTGTTCTAGGCATCAGGATACAAAACCTATTCCTTTCCTCATGGCACTGCGGTTCTGTGTTAGGATGACCCAGGAGGAAAATAAAGTATTCAATGTCTGTCAAAGCCTCTTTCAGAGCATATAGCCCCCAATCAAGACTTACCTCAAGATGGTATTTCACTAATAAAAATTTTTAAAAAAAGATTCTTAGAGAGGAAATGGAACTTCCTGAGTATTTTCTTTCCAGTTCAACTCTTTAGACAGCCTGCAGTCATGACAGAGTAGAGGGCCCCTAAAGTGGAAATGTTTCTAGGTCAGAGAGAAAGCACGCCTCAGCAGGCACACTGGGATGATCTGGGGTGGTTCTGTGTGGAAAAGGAATGAGATGCTCCTGGTATTCCTGCTTGTTTTTGCTTGAAATTAACAACATGCAAATGAGCACCTGTGTCTGAGTCAGCAGTGAGTAACCCCCTCTGCAGGATGTGAGCTTGGAGCACACACACAACCTCCCCTGCTGGCTCTTCTCAGTCCCTCGAGTGTCTAAGGGACAGCCTTGTGCCCTGACTCCTTGCCTGTGCTAGTCACCGCCCTGGGCAAGCCAGCTGTTTACTGCATTGTGCCCAAAACCCAGGCTCAGCTGATGAAATGGCCTCACAAAGAAGCATGGAGCCTTTCACCACCAGGAACTTCTTCCTGCAGCAAGTGCCAAAGAAAACGTGCCTCTTGCTGGAGTTTCCTGGAACCCCTGCTTGGTCAAGTCCACACACTCTGATGCTCCCTCTCTCTATCACCCATGTCTACCTCAGCCCTTTCTTTTCCTACCCTACCTCTCCTCAAGTCCTGTCTCTTAAAATTTTATGTTCCTTGCCTGTTATTCCCTAGATTCATTTCAGCCTCCTACTCTCCTGTATCTACTTCTTTGGATCCTGCCTTCCCTCAACTCCTTCTCTTCCCCTTCACCAGGTTTCTTAAAATCTCCACATCACTTCTTAACTCACCGATTTTCCCTGAGTGGGTTCCCCAGAGGCAACTTTGCCCTCTGGTGCCTACTAGGCAGCCTGAGTCTTCGCTTCTCCCTCCTTGTATTTTGTGACACTCCCTCCCAGTTTAAGTCGTTCACTCCCATTGGGTGTTTCTCAGACAACATTCTTTGGTTTTACTGCCAGTTTTGGACCATCTCTAGTCTTTTTTTTTGGACTGGATTATCTCTATTTCACTTCTTAGTACAGATTCCCCATGATTCAAACAGCAACGGTATGACTAAGAACTCTCAACTCTATGCTGTCAACTTTTGCTTCTTTTTCTGCCAGACCCATATTTTCGATTATTTACCCTTCATCACTACCTAGATATCCTTAGCACACCTTAAAAATAAAACTAAGTGCCATTGTTTTGACCTTTCCTCTACCTTCTACTCTGACTACTTTCATTAAAGGTTCCACTATCATGCCCTCCCAAATTAGAAACTGCAAAACATCCTCCTCTTCATTACTCAAGCCACCAACTCACATCAATTCTATCTTCAAAATAACCCCAAGTTGTCTTCCATACTCTGTTCCACCTGTCTCTCAGGGAATCCTTATTTCTCCTCAGTTCCCTTGTAACAGCCCCTGGTTTTGCCTCATGTGACCACCAATGTGTTCTTTCTAAAA